GGAGCTCTGCACAGGGCGGGTCCCTTGGGCAGTGGCTGCAGCCCAGAGCCTGGCCGGAGCCGCCAGCCTGGACCCCGACTGACCGGAGCGGGGCAGAGCAGACCTCAGGAAGACGTGTTTGTGACTAACTCGCCAGTGGTGGGGGAGGAAGCTGGCGGGGGGGACGCTTACCGCTCAGCAATGCAGGTCCTGGCAGCAGCTGAATCTTGCTCATCTCGTCTGCGGGGCCTGGGTGGGTGGCGGGGGGCGGTGACCCAACCCAGCCTGGAGGGGTAGCGAGCACATGCCCCCCGTGACCAGTCCCACTGACCGGAGGGGGGGCCCCTGCAGGCAATCCCGCGGTCTGGGGAAGGTAGGGTCCCTCCTGCCCCCCTTGCCCATCGCCTAAGCGGCGAGTGCGGCCGCCGGTGCGCGTGCACCCCCGTGCACCCCCTACATGTCGCCACTGCCCCCAGTGGACGCTGAGCTCCGTGGCACTGCGGGGTCCCTGCAGATGGTGCAGTGGGGGTGGGTGCTGGGGGTCTTAGCAGAGGGCATGGTGGGGGCAGGTGGGGGAGATGCCTCATTTAGGCTCCAGGACCTCTGTGACGGGGCTGGAGCTGCCCCAGTGGCACCACGGCTGGGGCACGTCCCCGCTGACACGGCGCCTCCCGCAGGTCACGGCCACGGACGCGGACAGCGGCCCTTTCGGCTCCGTCTCCTACTCGGTTGGCTCCGGCATCGGCAGCGTCGTGCCCACGCAGTTCAGCATCGACAAACACACGGGGCAGCTGTGCACCGTGCAGCCTCTGGACCGGGACGAGGGCGCGGACGCCTACGACTTCACCGTCACGGCTGTCGATGGGGTGAGCCGCAGGGCCGGGGCAGGGCGAAAGCCACGTGTCCTGCCGGCGCTGCGTGGGTGCTCTGTCCCTGCCTCGTGCCTGCGCCGCGCAGGGGTCACCGCTGTCCCTCTCCCCCCCAGGGCGGCCTGAACTCCATGGTGTACGTGAAGGTGTTCCTGGAGGACGTGAACGACAACCGGCCGGCCTTCTACCCGGTGGAGTACGCGGCCAGCATCAGCACGCAGAGCATGCCGGGCACGGCCGTGCTGCGTGTCACCGCGCACGACAAGGACGAGGGGCTCCATGGGAAAGTGACCTACCACATCGTGGCCGGGAACTCGCCCCCGCTCTTCTCCCTCAACAAGGACACGGGTAAGAGCTGCAGGGCCTGGCCGGCGGGGCCTTGCCCACCTGCCCCCGCGCCTGCCGGGGCACAGACTCAGGCAGGGGGTGACAGCCCCTGGGGCTCCGGGGCAGCATCGTGCTGGCTCCTTCCCTGTGGCCCTATCCCTTGGGCCTGGCTCCTCGCTCCCCGGGGCCCTCCATCCCTGCCCAGCGTGCAGGGGTCGCGGGGCTGCGTGGGTGCAGGCAGAGCCTGCCAGGACCGTGCTCTTCCCTCCTCCCAGGCGTCATCTCGCTCTCGTGGTCCCTGAGCGGCAAAGCCAACACGTTGGTGCAGCTGGCGATCTCGGCGCGGGACGGCGGAGGGCTGGTTGCCCAGCCCAACGCCCACGCGAACATCAGCATCGTGGCCGGCACCGTCTCGCCCCCCGTCTTCGAGCAGGCGCAGTACTTCTTCACGGTGACCGAGGACACGCCCCAGGGGACCAGCATTGGCGCCGTGCGGGCCCAGAACCCCCCAGGTAGGACCCTGCGTCCCGTCTTCTGCACCGAGCCCGCGGCAAAGGTGGTGGGGGCCCCGGCTCCGCTCTGCCGGGCGCGGGTCTGAGTGGGTGCCGCCCTTCCTCCACCTGCCCCAGGCCACTCGGACGATATCTTCTACTCCATCTCGTCGGGGGACCCCCACAGCTACTTCTCCATTGACTCCGGCTCGGGGCAGCTGCGCATCAGCCTGCCCCTGGACCACGAGGCGCAGGCGGTGCTGGTGCTGGACGTGCAGGCCCGCAGCGGCTCGCCGCCTGCCTACAGCAACGCGCGCGTGAAGATCGCCGTGGCGGACGTCAATGACAACGTGCCCGCCTTCCCCGCCCCTTCCGACTCCATCTTGCTGCCCGCGGCCACCGCCCCCGGCACGGCTGTGTACACGCTGCAGGCCGAGGACCGCGACAGCGGGGCCAACGGGCAGGTGCACTTCGAGCTGGCGTCGGGCGGGGATGGGGTTTTCAGCGTGGAGCGCGCCTCCGGCACGGTGCGGCTGGTGGGCGCGCTGCCCCCCGAGGCCGGCGCCCCGTATGGGCTGGTGATCGTGGCGCGGGACGGGGGCGCGCCCCAGCTCAGCGCCACCTTCACCCTGCTGGTGCACGTGCAGGCGGCGCACGACCACGGGCCGCTGTTCGACACGCTCATCTACCGCGTGGAGGTGCGCGAGGGCACGCCCGTCGCCACCCGCTTCCTGCAGGTGCGGGCGCTGGCGCGGGATGCGGGCGCTGCCCCCCTCACCTACCACCTGCGGGCCGACGGGGACGCCGCCAGCTTCGGCATCGTGCCCGAGAGCGGCTGGCTCTACGTCAAGAGCGCGCTGGACCGGGAGACGCGGGACCTGTACGTGCTGACGGTGCTGGCCTCGGCGGGCGCGGGCAGCGGGACGGGCGGCAGGACGGGCACCAGCACGGTGCGGGTGAGCGTCACCGACGAGAACGACAACAGCCCACGGCTCAGCGAGGAGCGCTACTTCTTCACCGTGCCCGAGAACCAGCCTCCCGGCACCGGCGTGGGGCGGGTGACCGCCAGCGACCGGGACGCGGGCCCGAACAGCCGGCTCACCTACCGCCTCCTGCAGCACGACCCCAGCTTCCTCGTCCACACGCAGACCGGTGAGGGGCTGGGGAGGGGGCCGCTGGGGCGGTGCTGGGAGGGGCCGTCTCGGGGCGCCGAGGGGCTGAGCGCACCCACGTTCCCGCAGGGGAGCTGAGCGCCCGACGCAGCCTGGACCGAGAGCAGCAGTCCAGCTACCAGCTGCTGGTGGTCGTGCAGGATGGGGGGACGCCACCGCGCAGTGCCACGGGCACCGTCCACGTCACCGTGCTGGACGAGAACGACAACGCGCCCGCCTTCCTGCACGTGGCTGCTGGGCAGGAGCTCCCGGTGCAGGTGGGAGCCGGGGGGACGGGCTCCCGGGGCAGGTGGGGTTGGGGGGGCAGGAGCTCCAGGGGCAG